ATAATGTTTAATGAAGAAAGGTGAAGGAAAGTTAGATTTAGGATTATCTCTGGGGGGATGGAAACTAACAATGAGAATGAAAACTAAGCATTTGTCAAAGTCTTGAGCCCAGTGAGGAAAATGCAGCTATAGGCCAGACAGCATGAACATATGATCATACATTAAGATATTGGTGTTCTGATTTCTATCAGGTCAGTTTGGCCCTCACATAAATTCTAAATAAGTAATTTTAGATCTTGTAGCAGGGAGTTCTAAGTAAAATCTAAGTTTCTGTTTTTGGTACAAAACTGCCTTCCATCTTCACACCTGTTATCCTTCTATATATTTTATCTCTTCCCATTTAAATCAGTTCTTCACATTTCACTCAGATCCCAATAAATCCTTAATCAATAAAATAAATTTTGAAATATAACATGAATTAGGAGATTGGGTGGGGCTCACTTCAGCCACAATTGTCTTCTTCCTTCCTTCCACGTGCTGCTCAATTGCACACACTGCCATATTCACTTTGGGAGACAATAGCTTGGAAGGAAGAGGCTACACATACATGTATTGGACCAGCAATTTTCAACCGGTGTGCCACAGAAAAATTTAAAACATGCAATACCTGACTGTTTTGTCAGGGGCACTAACATCTTTCCCCTTAAGATCAGTGGTTCTCAACCTTCCTAATGCTGCGACCCTTTAATACAGTTCCTCATGTTGTGGTGACCTTCAACCATAAAATTATTTTCGTTGCTTCTTCATAACTGTAATTTTGCTACTGTTATGAATCGTAATGTAAACATCTGATATGCAGGATGTATTTAGGCGACCCCTGTGAAAGGGTCGTTTGACCTCAAAAGGGGTCGCGACCCACAGGTTGAGAACCACTGCCTTAGATTTTCAAATAAAAAAATGCCACAGCCAACACAATAGCTGTCCAGTATGAATGAATAAAAATTATATATATATATTTTCAGACTGGCAAAAAATGTATTTTGTGGTGTGCCACAGAATTTTAGTAATTAGTGCATGTGTGCCGTGAGGTGAAGAAGGTTGAATATCATTGTATTGGAGAAGCCATGTGTGGAGATATTCCTGAAAGAGTGGGAAGGAATGAATGACCAGAGAGTGACTCCATGGGGATGGCTTGATTATGCAGCTGTCAGGTTGAGTCTATAGTCACCATGAGTTTACTTTTCTGATGGTTTTGATCAGCAGATTTAAGCTAAAAAATAAACAACACAAAAAACATTTTTACTTTAACTGCATTGATTTCTTATTTGTATTGATGAGTCTCATGTCCTCTGGTGGGGGAATGAATGCCTACTGAGACTGTGCTTTCCTCAATTCAATATTTATTGACTCCTACTGTATGCCAGGCACTGTCCTGTACAATCAATAACTACATTAGAATCTCTATTTAATAATCCCCGTTAAGTTGAATTCAATTATTTAGAAGTTATGCTGCTTGGAATTGATTATGATATGAGTTAGCCCTGCAAATAGGATATAAAGTGGTATATTATATATGATGTGAGTTCAGCTCAGTGAATTTTTATACATTTATAAGCAAGAGAAAAGCCCATTTCTGGTATAAGCTTAAATTTGCCTCTTTATTCATGCCTGCTTCTGGAAATTAAATATGTCCCATTGCAGTCATTCTTGAGCTAGATTCCAAAGGGGAAATTTGAGGGATTGGTGAATTTAGCAGATCAACCTTTGTGCTCAGTCAAAAATGATTTTTTTTTAAGGCAAGCTTAAGCTTAGTACAAAACAAACACACAGAGCAATATCGTCAATGTGCCGAGTATGGTTGGATATTTCTCCTAATAATTTCAGGTTTAATGAATTTGCATGGAATTCACAGGAGATAAGGAGAGAGAGAGGCATTAGTGAGTGAACTAACTGGCATACTTTTCTATAATAGCTCCCTCCTGGACAGTTAGAGATCTCTTCTGTTCAGCGCAGAATTCTGCAGATTTCTTCATTCACTCTCAGAACATTATCTTTATCCCAAAAGAACTTGAGCTCACCATTTTGCTATTAGCTTGATCTTTTCTTGAGAACTTGCCTCAGGAAGAATAGCCTAAAAAATTGAAAATACAGAAATAACTCCAACTGATCTCTGTTTCTTATCCCACCCTGTCTCCTTGTACCTCCACATTATTTTTTAAAGGATCCCCAAGATGCCATCCCCAGAGGAACCATGCTGGCCATTTTCATCACCACCGTCGCCTACATAGGAGTTGCTATTTGTGTAGGTAAGTTGTAGGTCTCTGATGATGGTACCTGATGGATTTTCATGTTCAGTGGATTTTCAATAGAACATAAGTAGCATATTTTCAAAAAGGCAACTATTTTAATTCCTTTCTTACATATTCGCAGTGGTTCTCAACCTTCCTAATGCCACGACCCTTAAATACAGTTCCTCATGTGGTGACCCCCAACCATAAAATTATTTTCGGTGCTACTTCATAACTGTAATTTTGCTACTGTTACGAATCATAATGTAAATATTTGATATGCAGGATGTATTTTCATTGTTTGCGACCCACAGGTTGAGAACCGCTGTGAGGTTTGACTACAATGAAACTGTAGCCCAGATGTCTCTGGGTCAGGGATAGAGTAAGAAGTAAACAGATTGGTCAATTTAATGAACAGAAAAGGGTCCCATTTCATTACTCTAGAGCAGCCGTGGGCAAACTAAGGCCCGGCCATAGTTTGCCCATGGCTGGTCTAGATGATAAGATTCCTACTGCCAAGGAAGCCATCCCTGCCAGCACACACCTCCCTTGCCTTAGGGCAGGTGGGGAACAGCGAAAGAAAAAAGAAGCCAGATACAAAACAAAACAAAGCAAACAACAAAAGCCTTAGGAAATTATGAAAGGTATAGAACTGATGACTGTGTCCCCTCCTTGCACTGCTGTCCTTACTATGGAAATGTCACTGCCACTGATCAGCAAGAAATCAGAACAAGACCCAGCTGCCAGCAGTGTGGGCAGCCAGTCCCTACATTTCCCAATGAGCAGAGAATATGTGGATTCACCTGCTATTCCTAAACTGACTCTTGTTCTACCTGCTGCCTGCAGCCATACCTCCTCCTGGTTGGGGTCACCTCACTTGTATGTCATTATTAGAGAGGAAGGAATGTAGAACATTCAGAGAAGAAAATGATTTTCTTTGCTCACTAGGGAGTACAGCTCCAGGCTGGATCATTATGGGAATCTGGATGACAATTTTACCAAAAGGCACATCTCGGTCACCCTCTGTTTATTATGGAGCAAATTGGGAAATACATATGTCTTGAGTTTGGTTTCTAAAGAAAAAAGCAAAATAATTCACTTAGTTGCTTGTTTCTCTCACTGCTTCTTATTTGAGGAAATTGGATAATGTTGTTAACAGTATTATTGTGGCATTTCCAAGCTTAGTTACATGCAAAGAGATTTTATTCCAATGCTCTAGTAAATCAACATATTTTTAAATATCATTGAAGTCACTCAAAGTTAAATTTCCCAAATGGTTTTCTTTCTCACACACAGTAAAAATAAAGGAATACATAAAGTTATAGACCTGATTTCAAAGATTCTTTTAGTTTTTGCTCCTAATGGATGGAAAAATCTGTGTTTCTATACTTTTCCCAGGATAAGAGAAGGATGGTCATGGGTCCATGGCTTGTCGTTAGTGTAAATAATGGTTCGCGGCTTGGCTGCATGGGAATTTGGGGAGCTCTATTATGCAGAAGTCAAAATACATGATTTAGAAAAGTCAGCTCAACATAAATAAACAATGCAAAGAAGTAAAATCTGGGATGGATCATTCTTGATAACCAGCACCCATAACTTCAAGTGTTTACGCCGAGCTGCAGACCACTATATTAAAAAAATCTCTGCACTGACTATTTTAAGTGGTTCTTTCAACTTGAAGATTCTGATTCTTAAGTCTTTCCTGGATTTAAAGACTATGAATGTGCCCAAGGGTTCCCATGAGATCCTACCTTCCACGGGACCTCTCTTACCGTTATTCCCAAGGAGTGAGAACTCTCCCTGGCTGGAGTTTGAAAAGCAAAAAGAATAGTTATTTTGGTCGGCATCAGTATTTATCCTTCAAGTAGTTCAGAAAAGTTTGTATATGTTTCACACCTACATTCACATATTTCAATTACCTTATTAAATACATAATGTCAGATAACAGTTAGAAAAATTCATAGAGAATATTGGTGATTATGCTATATATATTAAGGATCTTTAAAAAGTTTATAACTCCAATTCTGAGAATCTACCCTAGAGAAATATGTTAAGATACAAAAAATATATATGCATAAAGATGTTCGTAGAATATTTATAATAGAAAATAATAAGAACACCTAAAGGTATGAAAAAATGGAGTAAACTGAGGTAAGTATTTGATAGAATATTATTTGACCACTACTATTAAGAAATCTTAATATTTTATCCCCAAATATTTTGTTATTTAAATCATTAAAATTGTATATCCTATATAATAAAAGGCTAATATGCAAATTGACCGAACGGTGGAACTACCGGTCGCTATGACTCGCACTGACCAACAGGGAGCAGACGCTCAGCACAGGAGCTGCCCCTTGGTGGTCAATGCACTCCCACAGGGGGAGCACCACTCAGCCAGAAGCCAGGTTCATGACTGGCAAGTGCAGCTGCAGTGGTGGGAACCTCTCCTGCCTCTGAGGCAGCACTAAGGACCCCTCAGGGGATGTCTGCTGCACAGGTGAGGCTGAGGGACCCCTCTCTCCCCCAGTACATGAATGTCGTGCGCTGGGCCTCTAGTTAAGTATAATTGTAACTGTTTAAAATAGTATGCAAGGAATATCAATAGTTGAAAGTGAGGACTTGGTTCTCTTAATTACTGGAATTCAATAATGCCATCCCTTGGTTCTCTCACAAACGAGACAATAAATCCTATTTGAAAAACACCGAATCAGTAGCACTAAGCCAGAAATCTGAATTGAGTATGTATTATGTTCAAGGCACTGTTTTTGCATTTTAAGGGATCAGAAAGTAAGGTATTCCAACCCACGATGGTCTTACAGAGACAAGTGAGAGCTAGGACTGAAACCACCCAAGGCAGTGGAAGTGGCAGCATGTTAGACACAGGGGGTGCCCCCAGGCTTCAGAGGGGTAATCCTCAAGTGCCATGTCCCAGGAAGCTTTGGAAATGAAGACGGGATAGTCAATGCACCTGCTCAGATATAAGCAAACTAAGTATGTTTTCAGAAGAAACCCCTAAGGCAGCGGTTCTCAACCTGTGGGTCGTGACCCATTTGGGGGTCGAACCACCCTTTCACAGGGGTCGCCTAAGACCATCAGAAAACACATGTATAATTACATATTGTTTTGTGATTAATCACTATGCTTTAATTATGTTCAATTTGTAACAATGAAAATACATCCTGCATATCAGATATTTACATTACGATTCATAACAGTAGCAAAATTACAGTTATAAAGTAGCAACGAAAATAATTTTATGGTTGGGGGTCACCACAACATGAGGAACTGTATTAAAGGGTTGCGGCATTAGGAAGGTTGAGAACCACTGCCCTAAGGGAAGAGAACTCTTAAAAATCTAAAGAAATGACAAGCCACTGTTGTTTCCCCAGGGGCCTGTGTGGTCCGAGATGCCACTGGGAACATGAATGACACCATCATTTCTGGGATGAACTGCAATGGTTCAGCGGCCTGCGGGCTGGGCTATGACTTCTCAAGATGTCAGCACGAACCATGTCAGTATGGGCTGATGAACAATTTCCAGGTTCGAACTGCAGTCATTATAACAATGTTCATTGCCGTTGTTTTCATTTTGATAACGTCATGTATAATGACATGTCTGACCCTGCAACGGATTGATGATTGATCGATTTGAATTCAGCAAAGAACAGTTGGTGTGAGAGGGAGGAGAATCGTGCAGACATACATGTAGCAGATCCGGGGGTTATGTTTACTGTGCTCGGAGAGAACAGGCACTGTGTGAATTGCAGCACCAGGGCAGGATCACACCCGACATCATGTACCTTCCAATCAATTGTGCAAGAGTTCCTGGTGGGGAGGAGAGACAGATTAGTTAGCACGGAATGCATTTCCTGCATGGGCTTCGGCTTAGGAACAGCCTCTCTGGTGGTCCTGGAAGACAAGGCCAAAGGGAAATTGTGAGTGGCAGAGGGGCGGGGGATAACTGAGGGGGAGGGACAAGGGAAGTTGGGAAAACTGTAGGACTTGAAACATATTAATTTGTCTAAACGATGAGTGAGCAGAAGGAGGAGCCAATTTGTCATGAAGGCTTCATTCATCTATTTTAACAACCAACTAAGAAATTAACTCGGCTGAACTCATTATTCCAAAATATGACTTAAATGGACAGACTCTCATTATGCCTAAGACCTAAAATTGTGTTTAATGAGCACAGAAAAAGCAAAGGTTTACAAAGCCTCTAGGGCAGCGGTTCTCAACCTGTGGGTCGTGACCCCTTTGGCAGTCGAACGACCCTTTCACAGGGGTCGCCTGAGACCATCCTGCATATCAGATGTTTACATGACAATTCATAACAGTAACAGCATTACAGTTAGAAAGTAGCAATGAAAATAATTTTATGGTTGGGTCACAACATGAGGAACTATTTAAAGGGCCAGAAGGTTGAGAACCACTGTTCTAGGGGCAGGTAGACCAAGAAACACTAATGCCTTAAAGGCCTGGTAAACAGCTGACTCCCTCTCCAAACCTTATTAAAACTCCACTTTCTGTGAGATAGAATTTCCCATAATGAAGAAAATACACAAAGGACGGAGGGGGGAAATACTGTCAAAACCCTTGAAACCTCTTTCTTTATTCTTCCCAGTATCTTCTGGATGTATTGTAGTGAGCATTTATTATTTTTATAATCAACAAAAAGGCCATTTTCATCTTGAAATGAGCAGGAGAGGGAGAATTCTGATTAGAAGCAATTAGCTTCTTAAGGACATTTCAAATCACAGAAAATGGAAAGGAAAGCATTTGAATAAAAAGTTGGCTATTTTTATTTATTTGCTTGTCTGTTTGTTTGTTTTTATTGTCCATTGGATGAGTTTCCTGACTTGAACCTCTCTTCTCAAGGTCATGAGCATGGTGTCGGGGTTCGGCCCCCTCATCACGGCTGGCATCTTTTCTGCAACGCTCTCCTCCGCCCTGGCCTCCCTCGTCAGCGCTCCCAAAGTGTTCCAGGTGATACCGAGCATGTGTTTCTCCCTATTGCTGTTGCCGCTGAATGTGGATCAAACTGAAATACTCATTCTCACCGGCAATCATTTTCCATCATTTGCTGAAACACTTTAATGTTTGCATCTGGCTCAAATGCTATGTCTGCCACATAGTCAAGATCGATTCAAATAGTATAAAGAATGATGAACCTCCGTGTTAACTTGTGCCTCATATTGTGTATCGCTCCATCTTTCGCCCAATCTTCTTGTCTGAATCACCCAGGGAAAATGACGGCACATAGCTCTAAATGATAAGGTTCTCCTCTTCCTTCCCGTTAGGCTCTGTGCAAGGACAACATCTACAAAGCCCTGCAGTTCTTCGCGAAAGGATACGGGAAAAACAATGAGCCGCTGAGAGGATACGTCCTCACTTTTGTGATAGCCATGGCGTTCATTCTTATTGGTTAGTAGCGTTGTTGTTCTTACCCAAAGCCAAATAACTCTTCTGCTACTCAGAAGGTTTTCCTTTTAGCTTGAAAAGTTACCTGTTTTGTGTTCAATATTCCATTGGGGAATAGAGGAGTCTGTCTAAGAGGGAAATGAGAAAACTTTGAGGGGAGAGGGCCTTGAGAGATTTGAGGCGGGCTTCGGACTTTCATCTCTTTGAATCTGAGTCTTGGAAATTCATCCACCCACATGTAACTGAATCCATCCCCAAACCTGCCCGTTATTGTCTAATCCAGTGGTTCTCAACCTTGGCTGCACGTTAGAATCACCTGGGAATCTTTTTAAAATCCTGATTTCTGGGCCTCATCCTCCAGAAATTCTGTTTCTTTGTTATGGGGTGGGGCCACAACATTAGTAACAATGAAACAGCATTTCCGGAGGATGAGGCCCAGAAATCAGGATTCTAAAAAGATTCCCAGGTGATTCTAATGTGCAGCCAAGATTGAGAACCGCTGCCCTAAGGCATCATTTGCTGGTGAGCTTATTAGAGAAAAAGAAGCAAGAGGTGGTAGCTATGCATAGATGGGCGGAGCCTTTCTCAGCACAGAGATGAGGGCTCCTCCTTATCACATAAACTCGGGAAGTGGCTGTAATTCATGAATCCCTGCAAGATTCCCACGAGGTTGAAGATATTTGTTATAAGGTAACAAAGTTTACTGCATTTAAGTGATCAAATAAACAAAGTTTTTAAAATTGTATAAGTTAAATTATATCTTTAAAAATCACTCTTTTAGAACAGTGCAGATTAACTTCCAGGTGTGTGCCAGCTATTTTTGCCTACCTCCTTGCTTACCCCCATGTTCTAGAGCAGGGGTGGGCAAACTTTTTGACTCGAGGGCCACAATGGGTTCTTAAACTGGACTGGAGGGCCGGAACAAAAGCATGGATGGAGTGTTTGTGTGAACTAATATAAATTCAAAGTAAACATCAGTACATGAAAGGGTACGGTCTTTTTTTCAATAGTTTTATTCATTTCAAATGGGCCGGATCCGGCCCGCGGGCCGTAATTTGCCCACGGCTGTTCTAGAGCCACCCCAGCTGCCCCCTGCATTTCCATCACTGAGGGCGATAGACACCTGACATTCAGAGAAATAGGACTATCTCTAAATTATTTCTCCTATCACAACATAAGCAATTCAGCTAGGATTAACTCATACTGGATATTTAGCTATAGTAGTAAAACATTTTTTTTACAAATTTGGTAGAACTTCTCTAGAAATAGCTAACAAGGGTTCTGAAAGTCAGAGAGAGCAAGTTGAGTACATGCAGAGAGATTTCCCAGTAGGCATTTCTGGAATTTAACTAATCTGGCACCCTGCAGAGCCTGGGCATGCATAGCAGATAAAGAACACAGGAATTGGCACCCCTGGAATAGCCACAGGGGCTTATAATCTGCCCAATCCCCAAACCCTCTATCCATTCCCACTCAAATTTCTTTTTTTCAAATAGAGGTCTTGATTGCCTATTTTCAGATTGGTAGGTTTTCTTGCTTCTTACTTTATGGAAAAGAAACTCTGGCTAAGAATAGGTCTTACAATGAATGCAGCCCCAAAGAAAAATCACTAACTTATTCAACTTTGACAGATGCTAGCTATGTTTTCAGCCTCCAAATAAAGTCAAGCTTGCAGGCTGCAACAGCTGTTCAGCCCCTGGTCTCATCACTCAGACGTACATGCTCATGTGTGCTTTGTTCACAGCGGAACTGAACACCATTGCTCCCATCATCTCCAACTTCTTCCTGGCCTCATACGCACTTATTAATTTCTCCTGCTTCCATGCCTCTTATGCCAAATCCCCAGGTAAGTTGACTTTTTAAAATTAAAATAAGCCTAAGCCAACAATGGTTAGTGTCAATAAAATGAAATGAGCCAGTGAGAGTGCTTAATTTGTGTTTATCTGTTTCCTTATATCCTAGTGGGCAGTGCAATCCACTTTGTTTGGTGAGTTGGGGGGTGACTTATGCAATAGAAAAAGAATCATTTGAGCAGTGGCCTTTCTGACCAACCGTAAAGTCAATTTTCTCCTGCGGCAATAAATTATTCATTGCAAGAGAAACCACATTTATTTCAGCAGTAGAAAAACATCACTATTTATTTCCTTGGTGAAAGTGACCACAGAAGTGGAATAAATGTATATATTTGAAGCTTCCTTACTATCAATTTGTTTCCTGCCCGTGGTGCAGAAGAGAAGGATGAGTAGCTCCCATAATTACCTGCTGAGAGTAGTCAATGCAGATTCACAGTGAAGCTGGTGACATCCCTGTGCGCTCAGACTGTGATTTAAAGTGGTGCAAAATTCACACCAAGGAACCTTCCCCATCCAGTCACTTCTCACCTCTAATTTGCTTCCATTGGCCAATAGAATTTCCTCTGCCTTCCCACCAGACCAGAGACTAGTCATTATCGACCTTCAGAAAATTCTTCGCCATGAGGACTTATTTTTCTTTTCAAAACATTTTATTAAGAAACTAGAGGCCCGGTGCATGAAAATTCATGCACTGGAGGGGGGTTCTCTCAGCCCAGCTGCCCCCTCTCACAGTCCGGGAGCCCTCAGGGGCAGAAGACAATGTCTCATCACACTTCTGCTGCTGCCACTGCCAGCAGCACAAGCCTCGGCCGGCCCTGGTTACCTGAGCCTCGGGCGGCCTGGGCGGCTGGGCAGCTGCCATACAAGGCTTGCCTGTGCCTCGGGCTGGCCCTGGGCTCCTGGGGGGCTGAAGGGACTGGGGGTCTCTGGAGGCAGGCGCGTGGAGCAGCAGGGCTGAGGGGACTGGGTGCAGCCATCTTGTGACTGTGGGTGCTGCCATCTTTGAGGGCATGGCAGTTAATTAGCATATTCCCTCCTTATTGGCTGTGGGCACTGCCATCTTTGAGGGCATGGCAGTCAATTAGCATATTCCCTTCTTATTGGCGGTGGGCACCACCATCCTTGGGACCATGTGAGGGTCAATTAGCATATTCTCTCTTTATTAGGTAGGATCATTCACATACTATATAATTCACACCCACTTAAAGTTTAAACTCAATGATTGTCAGTGTATTTACAGTTATATAATGACCAACAAAGTCAACTTTAGAACATTTTCGTGAGGCCATGAGGACTTTTATCAGGGACATAAACACATTTCCACTGGTTTGGGGCCTGCCACAATTGAACTTCCTTTGGAAAAGCTGCTGCCAATAAGACAAAAGGTAGATGGAAGGGGAGTCTTCATCCACCCAAGGCCACTAGACTCCGGAAATCACTGAGGACTTTTTGTGTCTGTTGTGTTGTCTTCTTTTAAGCAGAGAACAGAAAGTTCTAGTCAGAGAATACAGCAAATCATAGAAATGTGTGCCTCCATTTCGTGTTATGTTCGTTTTTAAAGTAATAGAGGTTGTCAGGGGAAAGATTGAAAAGGAAAAAAAGGAAAGAGGAAGAGAGGAAAAATAGGAAATCCCATAGAGGGGGACACATAGTTACAAAGACCCAGAAATTGAGACTCTCCCCACCTCTCTCTTTCTCTTTCCAAGGTTTTCTCTCTATTTCATATACATGCACACACAGGCACGCACACACAGCCAGATTGTGAAATAAGGCCATTCCCAGTGATGTTCTCAAAGTGCTGCATCCATCTTGTGGCCATTTAGGAAACTGCTCCAGAAGATGAAAGCTCTGTTGTGTTTTGGCCTCTCCGAATTTAAAATGCACTTCATCCAGAGACCAAATGTCCCCTTCAAATCAGAGCTTCCCCATCCTGACCATACTGTCTCCCAGCTTCTTTAATTTCAGGGAACTAATAGTAAAATATGGGAAACCCCCTTGCATATATGAACCTTGAGAAGTATTTTCATTGCAAAGGCAAAACATATTAATGCATCAGGTTTAAGAAGACTTTGAAGACAAATGCCACCCTCTCTTCCCATTAATTATTATTTCTGAAAGGGCAAGCCTGCTCCTCTCAGGGTAAAGGAAGAGCTAGCAGGAAATGAATGGATTTACTTGATGACTGCTCTGCTTTCTGCATGGGAAAGTAAGCCCATTGTCTCAACCTTCTCTTTCTTGGCCCACCAAGGAATTCCTCCACCCTCCCCACAAGACCCACTTCTCCATCCCTCCTGCCTCCGTTGAACTCCTGCTGGCATAGATATGAGGTGCTCAAGGTGGTGTAGTTTGGGAAGACAATCAGGGGACATGCAGGAATCGGGGGTGGGGCATGAGAGACACCTTTTTCTGTATTTCACAGCATCCTTATTTGGTGTAATTACACCTCCATAGGCCAGGGATCCAAGATCACAGAAAACTAATAGCAGAGTTGGAAACTTGACCTAATCCTTACTTTTATGCTGGGAAGAAACATGTTACTTATATTCTGATCATATGCAATGGCATGATGGTGATCGTGTGGAAGATTTTCTTGTGCACATAGATTTGTTTTTTTACTTTCAGGATGGAGACCTGCATATGGGATTTACAACATGTGGGTATCTCTTTTTGGAGCTGTTTTGTGCTGTGCAGTCATGTTTGTCATCAACTGGTGGGCAGCTGTTATCACCTACATCATTGAGTTCTTCCTCTATATCTATGTAACCTATAAGAAGCCAGGTAAGATAAGAAGGACTGTATAGGAGGGGGTTTACAATGCAGCCTCTAACTACCCATTTATTCAACAACCAGGTAGTGAGCAGCTCCTGTGTACTTAGGTATGCCATGTGTATGGTGGCTATTAATAATATAATGTAAAATATCAATAGGTAACTTTGTTGAGCACCTATTACATATCATGAGCTCACGATAATGCTGTATGTTAAGTATTACTATGCCCATTTTACAGATGAAGAAACTGAGGTTCAAAGAGTAGACCACTTGCCAAGGTAATGGTCAGTATCTGATGGAGCTGACATGTTAACTACAGTGTGTATGACACCAAACCCCACAAGCTTCTCATTACCTCACTTTCTAATGTACTAATGAATGAAATATAGTCCCTGTCCTCAAGGAGTTCACAATCCACACATAAGCAGTGAACTATGTAATATAATAAATTACTCTAAGTAGGTAAGTGAAAGTGACATGAACAAATTGCTGAGAAAAGGAGAGAATTAGATGGACTGCAGATGGGAGAGGCTGGAGACCACAGAGACAGGGACTGAGCTCCAGCCTCAG